CTCTCTACACTTCTTTGATTAAAGTATGTTTTCAAATGAAATAAGTTTTCAGTGCCTGTGGAGCTCTATGGAGTTGCGGTCGAAAGAAGAGAGAGCTCAACCCTCAAACTGCATGCTTTTTCCCACCGTGTCCGATTAATCTGTTCAAGAGAGATGTTGCCCCAATTGTGTAAGCAATTTTTAGGATCTCGGACATTTGCTACGCTCCGCGGCCCTTTGCCATTGGCAATCCAACTTTGAGCTCCATAGCTTGCTGTTGGCTTGTCCCATTTAACTATTCTTGGTATCATTAGATGCGCCAAGTCTTTCTCTACTGATTGGTACAAAGACTCTTTAAATTGGACAACCCAACACCAAGATATTTAAGCTCAAAGTTAGATTGCCGGCAAATGTCCCATAATCTAATATTTAAGACTAAATCTCTTCAAGTCTAGGCTAAAGAATGGTAATTTCATGTCTAATTTCAGATTCAGCTCCAAATTCATGAAGAGTGCCGTTTGATTCCACCCATTAAACGAAACTACCGTCAATATTCCAAATGTTCTCATTTTCTTTCTGAAATAAACCTTTCTAACAAAATTTGGTTACGATGTTTGTCTTTTTTGAACTAGAATGTTCGCCGAAACACAATTTTCGGTGAGGTTTTTGGTGAGGTTTTATGGTGAGGTTTTTGGTGAGGTTTTTGGTGGTGAGGTTTTTGGGTGAGGTTTTTGGGACATGGTGAGGTTTTTGGGTGCAATTTTGCAAATTAAACTAACAACTAAGCAAAATTGAAAATGAGCAGATTCACCAATTAAATCCCCGACTTCCAGGCAGCTCCAGATGTGCGAGAATTCTCGCTGGCCGTCGTAATGACATCCGATTCAACCGGTATCCTCATTGCTTCACTATTGGCCATTTTGGTAAGCCTTTGCCAAGAGTCACAGAAACATTTCTTTCAGTTACACAATCAAATCTGCGATCAACTCGGAACTTGATTTGCAATTGAAACAGGATGTTTTAGTCATTAAATGCAATAAATATTTATCGAAATGTTCACCTTGAAATTGGCAAAAATTCCTCTTCAAAAGCACGTCAACCTTTATCTTTCACTTTTTTGTTCCTCAGAAAAAATAGTTTTCAATTCACTCTCAATCCATCAACTTTCAAATTGTTTTTTTAAATAAACAAGGAACTAGAAAGATTTGGTAAATATCAAAAATGCTCTTCTTGCGTCTTTTTAATGCCAAACTTGCACAGAAAAACGTGACCTTGCTTTAAATCCAATCGTTTTTTAATATTTCGATGCCGAGGTCATTGAGAGAGAAAGCACATGAACATTGTAAATCAGCTAGAGAACGGAAATGAAAAGATCAACTGATTAAAGGCCAAACACACTCTTCTTTTCATCACTTGTAAATTTTAAATTCATTTAACGATTTTGAATTTAATTATTAAACGTAGATTGCATTACTTTACCCAAACCATTGTAATCTCTCATTGCTATTGTTTACAGAAAATGCTCACTCGTTCTGCTTTGGCGTTGGTGTGCTTGATGGGTGAGTTGAATAAAGATTTATCTATTGTTAAGAAGTTTATTCACAAAGTGTTTGTTGGGAGACAAAAAAATTATGTTGATAAAGGAAATAAATGATTTGTCGATTAGATGAAATCATTCGACAATAGATTTTCCCTTTCTTTTCCGGATTTCTCACGTTTTTGAATTGTGGATAGGCTTGTTTCCACTTTTGGGCAACCGCTTTTCTTTCACTTGGCTCTTCAATCAATTTCTCGTATCCAAAGTCCTCAAAAAATTTGTCAGTAAACGCTGAATTTGCTTGGGATAAGGTTGATTTGAAATGAAGAGATGAATAGGGCATTTGGGAAGGATTTCCGTTCTCGAGAATCCATCGAATCACCTGAAATTGGCTGTAATGTCAAAGCTGCTCAGTTGAGTATCTGAAGAAATGCAATCATGCTCTGTATCATAAAAATTAGCTTGTATCAGTTGATTAATTCTGAAAATATTCATATTGTCATATTGAGAGAAACTAGAATTTCATAGTTTTCGAATCTAGTTTCAGAAATGCCCTGCAACATTGGTGGAAGAATATACAAACGACAATGTCTACTTTATTATATCAATGTATCAATCATATATTGTATCAATGCAACTCTACCGGAAAAAGCTGTTTGTCTAGAACAGTAGGAACTGTTTACCAACGCCCAGAAAAGTACAATACAAATTTAGAAGCAATGTTATGAGGAGAACGAGTGTGAAGAAGTGATGAATGCATGACTCAGAACTTGGGAAAACATTGTCCCCATAGCTTGCCTCAATTTTTGCCACAAAAATGTTCTTTTCGTTGAAGAGTAAACGAATTTAAGGCAATTTTTATGTTTCTTTGACTACCTACCGTAAATACTGTAATAGTACCCCACTCCCATAATGACGGTGCGGAGTGTTGTGTAGTCTAGCTTTGAACGCGTTTTTCTCATGCTGCCAAGACATCATCTTGGTGATGGAAAGTAAGTTTTATTGAAAATAGTGTCTTTGGAGGGTTTAGGTTAATAGTTGTAAAAATATTAGGCTTCTTTTGATTGATTTGGTTGAATACATTTGGAATTCTAAGAATTAGATACCCGATTATAACTACCGTAAATACTGTAATAGTACCCCACCCCCAGAATGACGGTGCGGAGTGTTTCGTAGTCTAGCTTTGAACGCGTTTTTCTCGACACTGGTTTATGCAACAATGCGCGCTTAGGTATCAAAAAATAGCTGAAATTCAGGGCTATTTTTTTGATAAGAAAGACGCATTTTTTGAAAGTACGGGTGCTTTGCAAAAAATGAAATACTAAAAAACTTTTGCGACTACGCGACTTTACGAGGGAGTGGGGTACTATTACAGTATTTACGGTATGTTTTCACTCTACTATCTCATACAAATTTCAATCCACTCACCTCTAAGTTGCTTTCGTGAGTGTAACGAATCGGCCACAACTCAATTCTTTCCATGAGTGACTCACGGAGTGCTTCAAGGAGACAAATATCGGCTGGCATGACGATCTCTTTCGCTTCCATCAAATGCTTTCTGATAAAAGTTGAAAATATATTGGCAACTTCTTCAAATTCTTTCTTGACATCGCTAAGTTCAATGTCGAATGACAGATGGGCTTGATTGGTAATATTTGCTTGAAAATCGGAGAAGAAGCGTCGAATCTCCTGAATGTTTCTATTTGGAATGTAAAATCGGAAATTTCCGATAAACTTTAAATTCGAGAAAATCGAGTTGAAAGTAGGAATCGATTGCGTTTCCAAATGATAGATATCTTCGGTTGAAAATAGTCGGGTTGAGCGTATTTTGGAGCAAATTCTTCTGAAACAGTCATCAACATTGGTCGTTTCTTCCCCTTCCGATCTAACAACAATGCGGGTAGGGTCAGGGATTGCCACTCTAATCTCATTCAAACGATTTCCAAAGGTTCCTTTTGATAAAATCAAGAATCTCAATGCGCTATTCACCCTCAATAAATCCACGCTCAATAAATGGTCTAGAATCAGTGATCGAATCTCGGCTGGAAGTGAAGAAATTGGGAATTTTGTGCATTTTAATGGAATTGGTGCTTCTTTTTTGGAAGTTTTTGGGCGTTTCATTTGAAAAAAATAGATTTTGCGAAAAATGAGAAACTTAGCGTGCAGCTATGAATTTTTGAGTGATGGCAATAGATAAGAAGTGGGAAATGGCCAGTGAAAGGCAAAAAGGCAAAAAAGGAGTAAAGGGATTCATCATAGTGTGCTTTGAACCATCAAGAATCTCATTTTTCAAATAACAAAACTTTTAAATACTTGACATTCTAGTTCTAGTAAGTTTTCAGATTTTTAAAAATGTTTTATTCTGCTCGATCAATGACCATGGCTTAGGCCAAAGCTCCTCCTCTTTTCACTCTTCACAAATCAACAAGTTTTGATCTTTTGGCTCGATTGGCGCTTCTCTTTGAAAGGTGTATTGCCCTTGATTTAGCCTCTGGATTGCCAAGTTTTATGATTAGAGTTTAAGTGTGAAATTTGACAGTTTATGTCGACCAATTGTTTTGAAAAACTCACTCGTTACAAATTCCATAATAAATCCAAAACATCTTCAGAATTTCAACAGACAGACAGACAGACAGACAATTTTCAACAGACAAAAACCGCAATGAGTACGACTAGAAGGTTCATCGTTCCAAAGTTTGGTTATCAAGTTGTCAAAAGTGAAAGCATTTATACTTGGTTGATTTTTTATCAATGCCTACACCTTTATATCCAAAATTCTCAGTTCTCTCGGTGATGAATTGCTTTAGATATGTAGTAAAAGTTAGAGAAAGAGATGATTTAATTAAAAGAGCAAGAGTTGAGTTGAGCATCGGATGGGATGGAGTTACAAAAACATCAAACTTCCTTTGATAACCTTGAAACCTTCGTTGGGGAAATTTTACAAAAAATGATTGATTGTATTCTGATCGCTTTTCAAATTTCTGCTTATAAACCCAGAAAAGATGAAAATAGAAATAGTTCCTCATTCAACTCCAAACAATCAGCAAGCCGGATGGAGATCTACTAGATAGAAAAGCGCAGTGTCTGTCTGTCTTTACGGGCATTTTTTTCGGCTTTGTTTTGACCAATCAGCTAAAACTTCTTTAGAAAACTCTAGAATCTATGCTAGTCGTGCCATTTAAACTAAATTTTTAAAATTCAAAGTTGGGTGGAAAACCCGGGACTTAAACCCCTACCCAAGCCGTAAACAATGGGCTGTAGACAAACGCGCTCCCGACTGTGCCACGGCAACAAAGATTTCCGTCTGAAAAAACCCGCTCTTTTCAGCTTTTCGGGCTTTTCGGCTGACCTTTAGACAAGAATAATGATTTTCAGATGTTTTGGCGAGAATTTCGTCAAATTTCCTCCTCATAAGTCAAAACAAAAATGAACGTAAATGAAATCTTTGGCCATTCTTTCATTTTTGAATCCATTCGGTTTTCAAATGAGAGATTTCCTTTTTTCGTTGCTGATTTGCGGCATTTGGTCAATAGGAGTTTCTCAATATGGACAACCGGTAATGACTCTTTGAGGCTTATCATAACAAACTCATTTAGGCAGCTGGTAACTCTCCAGCCACTTCATCTTCACTTTACTTGAGTCCATGTAAGTCCTTGGTCATGAACTCCGATAAAAAGTTTTGAACTTAAATATCTACTAGAAATTGTTGATGTTAACGAATGCTGAGACTATATTTAAGGTTTTGGTCTAGAAAAATACAACTAAGCTATGCTGAAATCAATCAGACTTAGATTACTATGATGATAGCTCGTCAAGTAGCAGCAGTAGCCAAGAGGAGTGCAGTGAGAGTCGAGTGAAACACGCGAAATGCCCAAAGGGACTCGATTCGAACGGGACGAGTTGCAAGACACCAAATACCAGGTATTGCAACACTTACTAATAAATTGAATATCTATAATCTAATATAATAATCTACTATAATCTAATAGATCCAATAAATACATCTTTCAATCTTTAAGAGCCAACTAACTTCTTTCATCAATAAGAACAAAGAATTCATTTAGGCGAGTCGAAATGAACGACAAAGAGTACTTGGAAGTGACGTGTAATGGACAGAAGCGCTGGACAGCTCTTGTCACAAATTCTGGAAAGGTAAAAATAATGGTTAACTTTATCTGACACAAGATTTCAGGTGATCAATGTGGCTTTCGGGAAATTGGAGCATGTGCTGGCTTGCTCGGACAGAAAGTAGGTACTGCTACTTGCCAGTCGAATGGCGCATGACAAATAATATCAAAATTAACTCAAAATATAATATCCATGCAAAGTTATGAGGCAAAAGGTTAAGTTCCGCGCATAATGAGCGGAGTTTAGTTTTTTAGCTAAGAACTTTGTGTGGATCCTTCATTTTGTGTTAATTTTGGTACCATTCGTCGCGCAATTTTATTCTGCATCGAATGATAGTCTAAATAGTCAAAATCGGAGGGTTGATGCTGAGAAAAACACGAAAAAACTTAAATTGCCAACTTAAATTGCCACTTAAATTGAAAAAAGAACCGACAGATGTTTTTGTTACAAGTTTAGTAGTTTTACAAGTTTTTTGCCCGCTTCAATTAGTTTGTTCTGTTTAGAAACGAATGGAAAACCTTCACATATCAAGGAAAGAGAATTCACACAAGACACGTTTTTTGTGTTCATGGAAGTTAGTGAGAGAAAACTTAAAGTGCTTATTATTCGTTTAGAACTCGTTGACGAATTTTTGGAGCGAGGAGGTAGCTTTCACAATCCTTTTGCTATTATGAACTTAATGAACTGCTTTTAATAAGATCATTCAGCAACAACAACTACCACTTCTACGACTGCCACAACAACAACAACCGGTAAAATATGTGCTTGAGCTTTGGCAAAGATTTTAACGCTTTCAAAGCTACCGCCAAAGCTAATCCTATAATTTCTTGTGGAAAACTTTGGTCTATTGATAAGTATCGTCGTCAGATTCTTGAGCTATCACTGATAGTTAGTTGCTAGATTTTGAAAGACAATCGGACTACGGTAGCTTCTTTTCACCATTTAGAAAGCTTTAATCAGAAGAATCGACCAAGCTATCTTACTTGTAAATATCACATTTCAGCCATACCAGACAAACTCATCTTTGCACTCCCTAAATTCGATGACAGTATTCTTTCAACTGCTTCTCGATTCAAAAGACAAGCAAACAGCAATCAATGCTTTGACTGTCAAACGGTAAAATGAGAATTGATTTCTGAAATCAAAAAATTTGAGATGGCTGATGCAATTGCTCAAATATTGACTCAATTGAAAGCCTCAGGCGAACAAACGGTCGCGTTTTTCACTTTTGGTCTCGATCAAACAGATCTCACAACTCCGACCAACATTGATGATGCGATTGCTCAGATTCAGAGCTTTTCTTGCGCTGGTTCGACGAATAAAGGAGTCAACGAGGCAAGGTCAGCTTTAGGCAAAAATGAAGACAAACTTATTTTCTCTTCAGTGGATTGCAAGCTCTTTCTCAACAAGCTGCGACTGGAGACAGTGTCGTTTATTTTGCACCGTGCACTTTCATCAAGTGAGATTTGAAAGTAAATTGAAAAATAAGCGTTTTTAGAGTCGATACCGATGTAAGCACGATCACTGAGCAGTTCAAAACAATCTTGTCTGGGAAACTTGTGATTCAAAAAGAAGGCGCTGACTCGACACCATACACGGCTGCCGGCAATGTTGCTGTCGTTCAAGCAGACACTCCAACGGCTATTGCATCAGAGTCAGTTCAAGTCTTGGAAAGCACAACCACGACGACAACGACAGAGGTGAGGACTGTAGCAGAATCGCGGCTCAGAAATTGTGTTTCTTTGACAAGTGCCGTAAATTTACTATATGTAAAGGGGCTAAGACGTCTGTCTGTTTGTCTCTCTGTGCGCACTTCTTCTCCGCGTCCAATGGACCGCTTCCAAAGATTTATAGTTAATTTGGTTTCGAATTTCCTGTAGTTGTGCAACATTTTTTTAAATTTTAAAAACCAAAAATGCCGAAGTGGGCGGGAGTCGAACCTGGAGTCGTGTGGCCTAGAGACAAGTGCGCTCGCACTACGCCATCTACAAAAGAACATGGCAGGGTGGTTAACGCGCGCGTCTTTCAAACGAACGGAAGAAAAAGGTCGCGGGTTCGCCTCCTCTCGCCGCCAATTCTTTCGCTCCAAATTTTTTTGCTGCAACGCAGCAGCGAAGCTTCTGGTACTCTAATAGAACAGCCCCCCCATAATGACGGACGTACAGTCGCGTAGTCTAACTTTGAACGTCCCGTTCTCTGCGCTGCTTTATGCTACAGTGTGGGCTTGGGTATCAAATGATAGCCTTTGAATTCTAATATTTTTTGGTACCAAAAGTGTAATTGGGAAAAATCTAGGCCCTGAGAAAAAATGATTTTCTAAAAAGAAGTTAGACTAAGCGACTGTACGAGGGGTGGCGTTCTATTAAAGTATTTATGGTAGTTGTTTTAGCTACCGACTACAACAACGACCTCAATTGATACAACGACAACTCCAACAGGGACAACAACTACCACTACCGGCACCACCACAACTCCTGGAACAACAACGACCACAACAAGTACAACCACAGGCACAACTACAACCCCTTCCGGAACAACTACTACTACAACGACAGGAACAACCACCACACCTTCTGGAACAACTACCACCACAAGTACAACAACCACTACTGGAACAACCACAACTCCTTCCGGAACTACTACCACAACCACTACTACCACTACGACAACAACAACTCCAACTACCACCACGAGTACTACGACTACCACACCTACGACGGTAGCTTTATTGTTTGACACCCGAATGGTATGTGTTTAGACGACAACAACCACAACCACGACTACAACAACTACAACGACTACTACCACGGTACTTATGATTTCAAAAATTTGCACAAAAAGCCCAAAAATGGAAAGTGGAACTGAGAACTTAAATAGTATGTGTAAAATAGTAAAAGTGTTGAAACCAAAATGAACCGAAATACCGAACCGTACCGAGATTTTCGGTAAAACTGAACCGAACTGAAAATGCCAAACTGTACTAACTAGCCAAGGCTTTGGCTTTGTTAATGAGCCGACAAAATTTTGGAGATGTTTTGTATCTACAGGGTGTCCCAAAATTATCCGGACAGCTTTTTGTAAAAGTAGGTCACAAGCCTAATTTATTTCAAAGTGTCAAGTGTTATATAGAGAATTGTAGTCCTTAATCTTGGCTACATTTATCTACTAAAAACTTCCCAATCGGATTTATGCGACTCATTTAACAAGTCCTTGAATAAGCACTAGTCGATTCCTATCCGGTCCTTTAGGGGTCGACTAGTGTTCATGCAAGGACTTGTCAAATAAGCTGTATACATCCGATTGGGAAGTTAGATAATGTAGCCTAACTTGGATACAATTCTACTAAAAACTTCCACTTTGAAATAAATTAAGCTTGTGACAGTTACCTTTCCAAAAGGTTGTCCAGATAATTTTGAGACACCCTATAATGTGAGCTATTTAGACAACGACTACAACGACAACCACTACCACGACAACAACTACAACAACGACCACTACTACGACAACGGTGTGTTTACTTTCCTATACAATGATTGGACGTTTTAGACAACAACGACCACTACTACAACAACCACTACTACGACAACAACAACAGTACTTTGGCCTTTCAAACAAAACGTCGACAATTTAGACTACCACAACTACTACGACAACTACGACTACGACTACAACTACAACTACGACTACGACTACCACAACCACAACCACTACAACGGTATTTTGCGCTTACTGTGTTAACTGCTGCAACTTTAGACTACGACTACGACCACCACCACGACCACCACCACAACAACAACAACAACAACAACAACAACAACAACAACAAAAAAAAAAAAAAAAACAAAAAAAAAAAAAAAAAAAAAAAAAAAAAAAAAAAAAAAAAAAAAAAAAAAAAAAAACAACAACAAAAACAAAAAAAAAAAAAAAAAAAAAAAAAAAAAAAACAACAACTACACTACTACTACTACTACGACAACTACGACGGTATTTTGACTTCCTAAACAACGTGTATTAAACATGAGTAGTTCCAAAATGTTGTTGGTTTGGTTCAATTCGGTTCGGTTCGGTTCAAAGGTTCATTCCAAAGGTTCTGTTCAAAAGTCAAGTTCAAAACTTGAAAATTTGGTTTAAGCCCAAAATCGGTTCCTAATTCGGTTCATTCGGTCGCGTTTTGGCTACCAAAATATTTGGTTCCCTTCTAGTTTGGTTCGGTTTTTATACGGGCTTCGGTTTCGGTCCAATGTTTCCAACTTTTGAGCTGGTAGAAATAAAAGCTTTCTTGTCTTGAGTTGAAGCTGTCTTCAGCTTTTAAGGCCTTTATGGCCAAAAGGCTTTTAAGCCACTCCTTTGATTTTT